GGTAAAGTGGAATCAAAATCAGAACTTGAGTTTTTCTTGATATTTTTTCCTCACTATGGGAGGCCTCTATTTGGACTGGAGGTTGTAAAATGTCTATCTATACTATCAAGGTTTTGTTGTGTTCTCTTTTATACCTGGTACAGTGTTCAGTATTTCATAACTCTTGGGACTGATTGACTTTTATCATTAATTAGTAGCATGATGACTAAAGGAAAGACTGCCCAAGACCAATATTTGTTAGGGTTCAAATACTAGTCTTACCACATGACCTAGCAATATCACACCTAAGTATTTATCCAACATAAATAAAAACACATCTCCATTAAAGAAATGTGTACTCAAATCTTGTAGTAGCTTTATATAATGACCCAACTGGAAGAAACCCAAATGTTATGCTGATGGTAAGGGGTAGACAAAAAGTGGTGGATCCACACAATGGAATTCATTGTTAGGGTTCAAATACTAGTCTTACCACGATCTAGCAATATCACACCTAAGTATTTATCCAAGATAAATAAAAACACATCTCCATTAAAAATGTGTACTCAAATCTTGTAGTAGCTTCATATATTGACCCAACTGGAAGAAACCCAAGTGTTATGCTGATGGTAAGGGGATAGACAAAAAGTGGTGGATCCACACAATGGAATTATACTAAGCAATAACAAAGAGATGTGTTTTTATTTCTCTTAATAAATACCTAGGTGTGATATTACTAGATCAATGGGCCTTGAAGGCCCAGGCAACACAATAAATAGTATTCAATAAATCTTAAGCAAGAATAAGCATTGACTTTATTTATTGATTTGAGAGAGAGAGAGAAAAACATTGATTTGTTATTCCACTTATATGTGTGAGAGAAACTGAATAGTGTTGGGGATCCAACCTGCAAACTAGGGATGTGCCCTGAGCAACCTTTGGTGCATAAAGTGGAATCAAAATCAGAACTTGAGTTGTAATTTTTCTTGATATTTTTTCCTCACTATGGGTGGCCTCTACTTAGACTGGAGGTTGTAAAATGTCTACCTATACTATCAAGGTTTTGTCGTGTTCTCTCTTTCACCTGGTACAGTGTTCAGTATTTCATAACTCTTGGGACTGACTTTTAGCATTAATTAGAAGCATGATGACTAAAGGAAAGACTGCCCAAGACCAACATTGTTAGGGTTCAAATACTAGTCTTACCACGATCTAGCAATATATCACACCTAAGTATTTATCCAACATAAATAAAAACACATCTCCATTAAAGAAATGTGTACTCAAATCTTGTAGTAGCTTTATATAATGACCCAACTGGAAGAAACACAAATGTTATGTTGGAAGAAACCCAAGTGTTATGCTGATGGTAAGGGGATAGACAAAAAGTGGTGGATCCACACAATGGAATTATACTAAGCAATAACAAAGAGATGTGTTTTTATTTCTCTTAATAAATACCTAGGTGTGATATTACTAGATCAATGGGCCTTGAAGGCCCAGGCACACAATAAATAGTATTAAATAAATTTTAAGCAAGAATAAGCATTGACTTTCCTTATTTATTGATTTGAGAGAGAGAGAGAAACATGTTCCACTTATTTATGCATTCATTGGTTGCTTCTTGTATGTGCCCTAACCAGAGATCAAACCCACAACCTTGGCATATCCGGACTTTGCTCTAAAAACTACAATGTTTTTAAGGTAAAACTGTAGGGTGATTTCATTCCAGAGGTGCTTTTCTGTCTAAGTAGGAAAAAAAAAGTGAAGTGCAGAAATAACTATTGAGATATATCCACCCCCACAGGCAAACGCGACATGTCTGTCCAAACTCAAAAGCAACTGGCAACAAAAAGCAAATTTTGATATCCTGAAAGCACTTGTGTAGGCATAAAAAGATTGCTTCACTTTTATAAGAAGACATAGAAAGAGACCATAAAACTGATGCGCATTCTAATGTAGCAAGAAAATAGTAGGTTGTACAAAGTATTGGTAAAATTGAGATTCAAACAAGTAGATCATTTAGGGAAATACAACATTTTATCCAGGAAACCATTCAAGTTACTTAAGAATGAAAGCAAATGGAGAAACAGTATATTCCAAGACAGGACAAACATATTTAATAAGTTTGGTTCTGCCCAACATTCAGGTTAGAAATTAATTGTGTAGCAACTAGCATGTTTTACATGCATGATAATACTTAAAACAATTTCAATATGCTATTTTAATTTTTCCTCCCTGTTTTAAACCTAATGTGGCTACCTACAATACAACAAACTTTGACTTAAAAAAACAACAATATTTAGCCTCACGGGTGTGTGTGGAGGGCCTCTGGCAAGCAAGTCCAGCGTTTTTAAATACGTCAGTTGAACCCAGGGCACAGGCAGAGCCACGCCCTGGGGGCAGCCCTATTCAAGAGGCAAGGATGTCACTCAGGCCGACCTTTCCTGCCCAGGCGCTAAGGGGATGGATCCCATTAGGTCGCTAGGAACTCAAAGCTCACCCAGATGTGATGTATCTTCCTGTTACTTTGAGTATATATTAAACTTACTTCTGGTGCTGGGCGTCAGAGGACAGAAGCCCACCCAGACCCAGCTTCTTCTATTTTTGTGTCTTGTCTCTTTCATTTCTTTCTCAATCCCAAGCACCTCTACTCAAAGAACGGGTTCATTTCTCTGTCTGTGCTGGTCGCGGGAAGAGAGAACGTACTCCCATAGGTGTGGCTTGTTAGTTTAGTGTTGACCTATGAACCAGGAGATCACAGTTTGATTCCCACTCAGGGCACATGCCTGGGTTGCGGGCTGTTTCTCCAGTAGGTTGCATGCTGGAGGCAGTCTATCAATGATTCTCTATCATCATTGATGTTTCTATTTCTCTATCCCACTCTCTTCCTTTCTGAAATAAAAAAATAATAATAAAAATAAACACATTTTTTAAAAAAATTCTCTCATAGCTCTGTGAATTAACAGGACTCTGCTAGGTAGTTCTCCTTTGAAATCTTTCATGTAGTTGCAATCAGGTGAAAGCAGGAGCTGTAGTCATTGGAAATCTCTACTGGGCTTCCCAAGATGGCTTATTCACCCACCTGTCTGGCAGTGATGCTGGCCTTCACTGAGAGCTCAACTAAGGTTTTGACCAGAGCACAGATACAGGGCATCTTCCTGTGGCGTGGGCTCCTTATGGCAGAGTGGTCGAGGTAGTCACATCCCTTTCCTGGTGGCTGGCTTCCAAGCAGGAATATCTTAAGGTGGAATATCCTGCAA